TGGGGGAGGGGATTTCAAAAAGTTATGTGACAGGGATAGAACGGTACTAGAAGGTAGAATTTCGAGTGGAGGAGGTAGAGGAGGCGATTTTTTTAGTATAAGTAAAGGAAAGGCACCAGTATAGATGGCATTTCGAATTATTTTTATAGGGCGCATTGGGGAAGTAATAAAGCATTGTTTGGTTTATGTATTTAATTGCATGCTCACGAAGGGGAGGTTAGGTTGTCGCAAAGTACGGGGGTAGTTGTGTTTTGGTGCCCAAAAAAAGGGAGGGGGGAGGGGTCTGAGTGCATATAGAGCTATGTCTCTTTATGTGCTCGGACTATAAAATCTTTGCAAAAAGTTTTTAGGAAATAAAATGAGGAAGGTATGGGGTTGGTTATTCACGAGGGAAAAGCTAGGCATAACCCGGTAGGAGCATGAGGGGACGGGCATGTACGTATTGGGGAATTTTTGGAGGAATGTGTCAAGGGGGGGTGTCCTCGGGCTTGACTGGAAAAAAATGCTTACGACTGTGTTGATAGAGATTTATTGAGGCTTATTTTATTGAAGCAGGGTTTTGGAGAGAAAATTGTAAGATGGGTTGATACCTTGTATGTCTCGGCTATGATACGCGTACAGGTAAACGTAAATTGGGGCAGCCGGTCCTTTAGGGGAACGGGGTTTGAGGCAAGGGTGCCCCCTCTCCCAGCTGCTTTTTGCTTGTATGCAGAACCCCTTTTATGAGCTGGTGGATGGTGGTTTGAGGCGTGGGACGCGGAGTAGTGACCATGCAGCGCATGTGGTCGGGTACGTAGATGATACCACGATTTTGTTAAAAGGGGAGGAGGATTTGCGGATCGTGGGATGGATTGTTGAGTTTTTTGGGACAGTCTGGCATGTGCGTCAATAAAGCAAAATCGAAATTGTAATAAAGTTGGTAGAATTACCGACAATATGTATAGTAAAAGGACACAAGTGCAACTAATGTGACATTTATTGTGGCAACGTTTCGCTCTCCAGGAGCTTTATCAAGCCATGGCTTGATAAAGCCCCCTGGAGAGCGAAACGTTGCCACAATAAATGTCACATTAGTTGCACTTGTGTCCTTTTAAAATCGAAATTATTGGAGGTGGGTACATGGGTGGGAGGGGGGGTTGGGCGAAAAGTATGGGTGGCCCCACCCGGGGGTGCAACTTAGAATATGTGGTATCGTGTACATGGCAGATGAGAGGGAGGGCCGAAGGGTGAACTCAGAATTGGTGGTTAATAAGGCTTTATATCGACTTCGGGGGCTAAGAGCTGGGGATGTATCTTTGCAGCAGAGGACAGTAGTGGTTAATACACTTGTTAATAAGTAAAAGTATGGGGTGTGGCTGAGGTGTAACCCTTTAAGAGATTGGGATATTCAGGAACTGCAGAGAAGGGTCTTACGTTATGTTTGGGGTTTCGGGAGGGCTTGGTTAAACCGGGAGGTTGTCATGACCCATGTTCGCCGTGGGGGTTTAGGTCTCCTGGCTTTGGGGCCACGGGTGAAGGCCCTCTATGTTAAGCAGCGGTTCCTCAGGGCGCGGCGGTGAAAAAGGGGATCCGGGTGGGGTCGGGTAAAAGATCCACATAACGTAAATGGTGGAGCGGAGGGATTAATCGAGTGTGAGGACATGCTATGTTTGTTATTAAAGTTGAGAAATGCGCCGGGAGGGGATTAATTGAGTGTGAGGACATGCTACGTTTGTTATTAAAGTTGAGAAATGCGCAACGGATTCGGGTGGGGCAAATGGTCAGCATATGTTGTCGTAGGGAAATTGTACAGGGATTGTCTGTTTTCCGCTGTATAATTGGGGGGAAACATGGGACGGATTTTGTAAACTTAAGTTCGCACCAAGGGTTCGTGAATTGGTGTACAGATTTGTCATGGGGATTTTAGCATCAAAATCGGTCTTAAATAGGATGGGTTTGGTAAGGGAGGCGGATTGCTTACGTTGGGTCTGAAGAAACAGCTTTCCCTGCAGTCTACTTTTGTGATACCTTGGACAAAGTTCGTTCGTGGGTTGGGCGGGTTTTAGATTTTCTTAGTGGGGGAACTATCTCAACCTTAAAGAGCCTTAACATTAGACGTCAGCGAGTATCAAGTGAGGTACAAAGGCAATAATGTACGTGGTGGCTGATTTTCTTATAAAATCGTGGGGGATGCGGAAACCGGGGGAAACAGTTAGGATCAGGGCAATTGCGGCAGTATTTTAAGAACGTATTGCAGAAATAAACTCATATATGGGTAGAATTGGGATAAAGTTTTCCGCAAACTATCGAAGTCTTATTGTTCAAAAGGTTGCTGCAACTGGGGGTGGGGTAAGGCAACGGGGGGCTGGACTCCCCCCGTGGTAGCCCCCAAACGGTGGGTTCGGGACTTCAGGGGAGAGGGCGGGTTTTGGGGGTGACGTGTAGGTATTATGAATGGTTCCGTGCGGTCTGTGTTGTATTGGTTTTGTGGCGTTTGTGTGGAACTGAGATCTTGGATTAATCCTAAATATGGTCCCTTGATCTTGATAATACAGATAAAAAGCAATATTTTCAGTATATGTTTTCCCGCCTCTGCAAGGCTGAACCGGTTCCCGACTATGACCGGGGCTTGGTGAAGTATGTTGGGTCTTTCCTGGGATTCCCCCGTTGGGTTTTGTTTTAGTCATTTGTAAGCGGAAGCCTCGCTGATATCACCGCTTAAAGTACACGTTATACTGCCCTTTAAGGGGAATGTTCATAAACAGACCTTTGGTGTTGGTTGTAAACTTTTGATGAAGGGCAAAAAGTTTCATTGGCCTAAGATTTTTTCGAAAAAGTAGTAGAGGTCACCTATGTGAGGGGGGAGGTTGAGATGTATAATGTCCTATATTGTAATCTTTGGGCATTTAAGTTCCTTGGTCAGCAGCTTTTGTGGGATATGTTGTTCTGTCACCCAGTGATATCACATGTATTTTTTTTTATCATTTATGGTGCATTATAAGTCAGCTGATGTTTCCATTTAAGCACCTTTAAATAATATCACTGATACAAGTAAGGTATATTTTTTTTTTTGTGTGGGGGTTTATAATTAGTTTGGGGAAACTAAAATAGGGGGTTTGGTCCGGTATTAGGTTGTCTTAGTGTTTCCTATATATAATCATACATGTTTTGATCTGTAAAAGCTTATGTTAAATTATTAAAAAACTTTTTGCATATTTTGATCCTTTTTTCAATACATGCAAACCAAAATAAAGAACACCAGGTTTTAATTTCAAGGTCATGTGGGTTTTTTGATAGTTATTTTATATAACCATATACTTAGTTTAGTGTGTAATGTATTAGTTTTTTTATTAATTGTTTTTTTGTATATAAAATTTTTATATATCCATAGTACCATTGAATGCGCAATGCATTAGTTTTTTATGACATTCTTTTGTATATAAAAATTTCATACACAATATAATAAGACTGTCAGGTTGGTTTATATTTATTTGGTGTTTAAGGTATGTTCCGCTAGTTTTCTCCCGTTTAGTTTATATAATTATTGGTGTTGTCTTACATAAATTTTTTTACGGTTCTTGTTTTAAAATAAATTTTTGTGTACACACATGTTACTGTGTTTTAAGTTTTAATTAAAGTAAAAACACATGTATACTGTGTTTTTTTTTTAAATAAATATAAAAAAAAATGTTGTGTCGGTCAATTTAGAACAGTTGGAATTGTACAGGCGAAAATGATGGAATAAAAGTCTACACAATATGAGAGAAAAACATCTAATAAAACCTGAAACAAACATTTACAGAGTGAGAGACAATCGAACCATCCAACCCTTCTAGGTGGGGTTTGGGGTGCCTGAGCGAGCCTTTGCTATAAAACTGTCATTCCCATTTTGCCCCCCTTTGGGGCGGGGAGGCAGACCAGAAAAAGGGCCCACTTTTGGCTAGGCCTGGGGCAGTTGGGGCCCAAAATGAGAGGTACTTTTGCCCCTCCCATGGAAAACTTAGGTCTCAACACCCCAAAGAGGGACCAAGGCCCCCGGGCCCCCACTTGGAAAAGGCCCGGGCCGGAGAAACCCGGGTAATTTAATAATTAATAAAAAATAAAAATAAAAATTGAGAGAAAAAACCTGGAGTTTAAATCCAAAGTTCTACGGACCTCACAAAGAGTACCCAAAATCTCAGAGCAGACAAACCTACGGTCCTAACCGTTTGGCCCCAAAAAGGAAAGACATTCCTCTCCATGAGGTTTTTTTCTCGACACTTAAAAGAAAGGGGATTTAAAACAAATTTACCGGGCTAATTTTTTCTTATTTTAGAAAAATTTGTTTTAAAAGCCAAGTTTTTATAAAACCTTACAGGGTTTTTAAAACATCTGGGGAAAAAAACTCATTAGGGATAAAAAGGTTGGTAAATGAGGGAAACCCCAAGACAGGTTCTTGGTTTCTGTCCCCACTTTTTAAATATTTATTTTAAAAAAAAAAAATCTCGATAATTTTGGGTTAGGAAATTGGGGGGGTTTTTACCATAATATAAAAACCCCAAGTAAATTTTAACATGAATCGTTAAACCCCAGGGAATTTTTTTACGGATTTGATTTTTTTTTTTTTTGTATAAAATGCCTTAAATTCATAAAGTTTTATTTTGGGCTTATATAAAAAAAATTGGTAAATGGCCTTAATATAATAAAATAAACAGTTTATCTCATTTGCTCCGGCGCACAACCCACAAAATTTTGAAGTATTAACACGGTCAAGATCCGACCAGATAAACACGATATTGACCAAATTTTTGTTAGGTTTATTGGCAGACAACCTGTCTTAGAAAATCAGTCCCTGAAATGTGATACAACTGAGAATTATAGAACACAACACCTTACAACGTTCACGCGATAACCATCTTAAAATTCTCAACTAATTCACAGACTGAAAAGGGTAACTAGGCGATGTTTCGGTCCTTCCTGTACCATCTCTAGTCCTAAGAACTGTAGATACAAATTAAACAAGAGTAAGGAAAGGCACTCACTTGACACTTGGTATAGGCGAGAGACAAACTCAAGGCTTGGATGTTGACGGGAAGATCTGCGGCATCAACCTGGCTGATATCCTGACTACAAGATGGGCAGGAGAGGTCTCCCTCCTTCTGGACGCTGACGATACAGGTGCGGCAGAAAGTATGGCCACAGGGCAGGAGAACCGGGTCGCGGGAGTCAGTCTGGTATAACTCAGAGCACACCTCGCACCTCACAGTCTCGGACATCCCTGAAGGGGTGTGGCTGGCTGCTGTAGCTCAGGCTACTGCCGTTGGTTTTTATCCTGAAGAGGATTTCTGAATGTCAGGGATTTTTAAATGTCATGGAACTAGATTCTCTCTCTCTCTCTCTCTCTCTCTCTCTCTCTCTCTCTATCTATCTATCTATCTATCTATCTATCTATCTGTCTATCTCTTACACAGGATTTTACGAGGTTAAGTTAAGGATTCTTAACTTTATTTACACGTTAAGAGCGAGCTCTGTCTCTCTCTCTCTATCTCTCAGAGAGAGAATTTTCACTAGTGTATTTGTGGTTTATGATACAGTAAGACGATGTTTATCAGGTCTTCAGTAAGGATCTTGATAAGGTATCACGCAAAGGCAAGCATACTAAGAATCTACGTAAGATTACTAATATCAGTTTTTAAAGGGGCGGAAGGGTAAGCCAACGGAAGGCCTCGGTCAGATGACCAAAAAGCCCCAGAGGCGGGTCTTCATATGACCAAGACCCGCGTCAGGAAGTAATTGTCCTGTTTCCAAACGACTCTTATGAAACCTAATACAGATTTTCTATAAATTATGAAAAATACTTCTTTACAGATGTGTGTGCACTGAAAATAATAGTTCATGTTTATGTGGAGTATATATCTCATTGTGGTGTCCCGTGGCCTGGCGGCTAAAGCTCTCGCTTCACACGACGAGAGTCTGGGTTCGATTCCCAATGAGGGTAGAAACATTGGGCATGTTTCTTTACACCGGTTGTCTATGTTCCCCATTAGTAAAATGGGTACCTGGGTGTTACTCGACTGGTGTGGGTCGCATGCTGAGACAAAATTGACCTAATTTGCCCGGAATGTTCTGCATAACAAGCGGCTTTGTATATGGTAATATGTCATTGATGTCAGCTATGGTCTGTATACCTTGTAAATGTACTATTATTATTAATATATATTTAGTATTTACCTTGATTTCAGTGTACTCACATTTGGATTTAAAGTACTCTTGATTGTGAGTAAGTGACATATAGCCTAAGTGACCCTCGTGTCCTGTCGATAGGCTTTGACCTCAATTAACCAACCAATCAGTTGTGTAGGATATAAACACCGTGAATACATCTCTTAATGTACTTACACTGAGAGTTCACTGTAATCCCTATTTTAGTGGTAAAAATATTCTTGTATGGCGGTGAACAAGTAACATACAACCTTATAAACTCTTGAGTAGGCTTGAAGCTTAAGTAATCAACCGGAGTTATGGCTGACTGAAAACAAAATGGGGATTGTATAAATGTGGACACATCAGAATAACACTAGACACAAGCAGAGTTCCACAGGAGTCAGTATTGGGACTCCTAATCTTCACACTTTACATATATGATTCAGATTTAGGATATTTTACGTATTCAATATATCTTAGATTATTATTATTATTATTATTATTATTATTATTATTATTATTATTATTATTATTATTATTATTATTATTATTATTATCATCATCAAAAAGAAGCGCTAAGCCACAAGGGCTATACAGCGCTGCAATATATCTTAGAAAACTAGACATTATCTAATTAAAGAAAATTTGCACTTCATGTATTGCTCTTAGTATTGGCTAGATTATGGTGATACTGTTATGATGCTGTCCTTAGTCGTAGGAAAGAGCATACATATACACATTATTAACACCCGGGTACATACAACCAATGCGTAGCGACTACATCAACAGACGTCGTCTCACATTAAGTACACACAGTGATTGTATCTACAAACCACACACAGTATCAGAATCAACACCAGCACACTACTAGTAAAGTACACACAGTGTCAGCATGAACACCCTCCACACAGAATGATTGCATCAACATCCGTACACAATAAACAGAGACAGCCTCCTCCTGGGGAGCACAGGGATGTGACGAGACTAGTGTCTCAGCTCGGCTTCAGTGTCAGTGGCTCGTGATATCTGAAGGAACCAGCAACACTATCTCAGCGAGTGGCCACACGTGTGTGTCCTGGAGTCCTAGACTTCTGGAGTCCTACACCTCCTTCCTCCTGGTCCTACGCTCCTCCCTCTTCACTCCACCTCACGCTTTTTTTTTTCCCCCCACATCTCCACCTTGTTCACTTCCTCCTTCCCTCCTCTGAATGATGCTGCAGTTTGTGCTAAATTAATTGTGCGTCTCGGGGATATTTTCTTCAATTACTAAGCATTCGTTAATTCCTCCCCTTACTCATTCATTACCACCTTTAATTCTCCCCTTCCCTCCCGCTCTCTCTCTCTCTCTCTCTCTCTCTCTCTCTCTCTCTCTCTCTCTCTCTCTCTCTCTCTCTCTCTCTCTCTCTCTCTCTCTCTCTCTCCTCTCTCTCTCTCTCTCTCTCTCTCTCTCTCTCTCTCTCTCTCTCTCTCTTTCTCTCTCTCTCTCTCTCTCTCTCTCTCTCTTCTCTCTCTCTCTCCTCTCTCTCTCTCTCTCTCTCTCTCTCTCTCTCTCTCTCTCTCTCTCTCTCTCTCTCTCTCTCTCTCTTTCTCTCTCTCTCTCTCCATCCTTTCCCATCCTACCTCACCGATATGAATTAAATAAAAACATAGTCTGGTGTCTGGCGCCGACACTGTCCTCACCAAACATTTAGTGCACCAGAGAACTTCAGATTTAGCACATAAAAATATTCTCCCCAACTCTGCATCCTTTATTTTCCCCTACCCCTAACCCCCTTTACCTTCGCTTTCCCTAAACCCTCATCTCCCTAGACCTAGTGAACAACACACATAGCTTCCGTGTTCAAGGCAGACAATGTGTAGAGAATATCGTGGCCGCGGCGCCTACATCATTCAAGGTCACATAACTTCAGCCTGGCATAAAAACTTGTTTTGAAGGCGGGGTTCCTGCTAGTGCTCTGGTTCCTGCTGGTGCTCTGGTTCCTGCTGGTGCTCTGGCTGAATTGCTCAACACCAGACAGAGTATTCAGTTGAATAAAGATAAATTAATCTTGAAAAGTAGAGTATACGGTTTATTCCCTATATTAACGTCGTTGATTAATAATTATTACAAGGTGGGGGAAAAAACCCTCTTGGATTCCCCACATTTTTTCCCAACCAACCTAACATTTATATTCAATGATATTAAAGTACAAATGTATTTCAGATGATTGATTTACATCGTTATTATCTACTGGGCTTCTGGTGGAATTTTTTAAAGCAATATAGTGAACAGGTTAGGTTTATCAGGAAACGGGGCAAGTGTTTCCTGTTGGGGATTTTAGTCATATGATGACCCGCCGCTGGAACTTATGGTCATCTGACCGAGTCCTTCCACTGGCTTACCGGTTCATTCTTTTAAAATTTATTGTTTTTATTATAACCAGTTCATTAATTTTTTTTTTGACGACGACAGTAGTTATACATTCACCGATGCTGTCCCGGTCCAGGTCTTCTCCAGGTGACTGTACTAGTTAATACTACTTAAACTGCAAAAAAAAAAATACACTGTTTATTATTTAAAATATATTTATGGTTTAGTAATTTTTTCAAAAACTAACTTCTGTTCATAATTAAGATTTTGGTGGAGATTTTAAAGGAACAAGACTAGCCATTTATTATAATTAAAACTGCAAGAAATATAAGCTGTTTATTGTCTTAAGTATATTTGTTTTAACATTTTTTCAAAAGGTTTTAATCTCAAAACTGGGGAAGATATCGGGCGGAAAGGAGAGGCTAACAATAAATGTCTAAAAAACACTTGTCTGTGATTTAAGCAATAACACAAGTGCTGGCGGAGACGTGGACAATGAAGCTGATCTGTATATTTCGACTCGCAGTGGAAATCTTCATCTGCTGAAGAGGACATCAGTTGGAGGTCGAAATATAGAAACAAACTTTATTTTCCGTTTCCGTCTCAATGTGGGGTGTTATTTAGCTTATGTATACAATATTCCTCATTCCTTACTTCACTTTAGATCTTCCTCTTTACTTTATTCATCTTATTTACTAATGAGATAACATTCAGAGGAGTATTCTGTCTCCTTACTCATGTGAAAAGCAACATTAATATAGTTTTTCGCATTACTGTCAACATTAAGTTGCTTGCAGGTTGGCATTTAGTCTCTCTTCCCTCTTCAGTCTCCCTCCTCCTTTTATATATCTTTCCCTTCTTCCTTCTAACGCTTCCCTTTGCATATTTCTCACTCTTCCTTCTCAGTTTCTGAGCACTTCTCACTCCTGTCCTGTCTCTTAGTCTCCGTATTCTTCCACTTTTTTTTAAACTTCCTGTTAGAATGTACTTTTTTTTAAATCCGCGTTGCAGGACTACACTGATCGTTACGACATTGTGCAACGTTAGAGCAAGAACTAATTGTAAGTGTATCTCGCATCTACACACTTTAACATCTAGTGTTGCAGCTTCACTTTCGGCAGCGCAGCTTACTTTCAGTCGGGGATGAAATTTCATATCTGAGTCGCTTCGTTATAGCCTCGCCACTGCACAATCCTGAGTCGTGTTGCCCTCTGCCTCCATTGCTTCATACGACGGATCGTGTACTGGGGGGGGGCGGCAGCAAACATTTATTAGGATACAAGACTAGGGTAGGCTAAACCGTAAAGAGGAGAGCTGTGAATCCCCTGGAAGCTCTCCTGGTATCCGCAAAGAAGCTATTATTTTTAAGTTTTCCGGAAGGCTTTCGGGTATCCCGCAATGAGATGAACTCGATGGCTCCTGGAAACTCTTGGAGTATCCGCGAACACGAAAACTGGAAGTCTTTTAGGATTATCCACCAGATTTGAGAGCCAGAAGTCTTTTAGAAACTCTTGGAGAATGCACATAGAGAAGAGCTTTATGCCTTCTGGGAGCACTTCAAGTATCGGCTAAGAGCGGAGACAATTTTTGGCGGTTGTTCAAGAGTTGTGATTCCCTGCCGATGCCGCTGCGCTTTTTAAAGAACAGTTGAACTTTATATCTTCCTTGTATTTTCATCTACTAAGAACATTGTTGGTAAGACTTGCTCGTTCCTCCTGCAAGTGGTGTTTTCACCAGGGATGAGGTCACGGCCAGCTGGACTTATAGGTGTGGGTCGTCAGCAGGAAGACACATAGGTCCTTCAAGGTCGCTTCCTGCACAGGATATCATGTCACCCGCACCTGATCACCTCTCTGTGGTCACTACAGTACCTGGTCAAATCTCTGTGGTCACTATTCTTTTGTCATTACATCTAGTCACATTTCTGTGGTCAGTTTTATGTGTGTTCTTATCATCTCCCCTCCCCTTCTACCGTCTCATCCCTCCCATCCCTTCCCCTACCCTTCCCTCCGTTCCTCATTACCTCTCCTAACTCGCCTACAACCTATCCTCATAATACAAAAGTCCATTTTCTATTCCCTAAACGATCTAAGCAAATATTAAAAATTAAATCCTTTTTTATAGGTTAGATAAGATTACTTTAGTCTACCCTAAATTAAATTTTACTCTTACATAAACTCAAAGTAAAATTTTCCCGTCTTTTCGTCAGAAAAGTCGAGCATTAAAAGACTAGTTGGTTAATTGGGCTTGAAGCTTAACGATATAGTACTAGAGTTATTATATTAATGTTGTATGTCACTTGTTCACCACAAATCAAGAACGCTGTTTTAATCTCAAATATGGACCTTGTGGAGTAAAAGTTAACTCTAGGTGTATATATACTTAGGTATATATACTATTACACGTACGTGCAGTTACTCTCAGTATGCACACATCAAGACTGTAGTAATAGACGTACTACTTATATGGAATATTCGCCAGGACAGTGTCTAATAGAGGTACAGGGGGACCCCGCTCATACAGCACCTTCATTTCGGTGTTCCACGTTTTTGTTGGCTTCGAATTGAGCCATTTGTAATTATGTTCCACCTGCCGGCGATCTTCGCTGGCGGGTGGAACATAATCATAAATGGTTCAGTTCGAAGCCAACAAAAACGTGGAACACTGAAAAGAAGGTGCTGTATATGCGGGGTCCTCCTGTACCTCTATTAGACACTGTCCTGGCTAATATTATAACAAGTATTTCTGTAAGTTAAATCCTTAAAAGATCAGTAATTCAGCAGTAGTGATATAAATGGTTTAGAAAACTGACAAGTTGAAGAATGAGACACTTGTAAAACATTTGGGAACCCTTACTGGGGAAGCTTTTCGCCAGCCAGTGACTTCTTCAGTCCAATACAAAAAAAAATAGTGGAAGATGGGGAGGAGTTTGAGATAACCAGTCCCTCAGCTTGGGGTCGATGTGTTCAGTAAATCAATCTCAAGACTGATGGATTGAATGGCCATTAAAGCTACACGTAACCTGCTACCACCAGTCAAGACTAATCCCTATGAAGCCCATAAACTACATGAGGGCCATTAAAGCTACACGTAACCTGCTACCACTAGTCACAACTACTTTAATTCTTAAACCAGAGATTAGAGCAACCTTTCAGTGTATATAAACTGAAAGACATACACCTCACAGTGTATGTATCTAGCGCATTGGCGCAGAATTCGTTTTTTGTCAACTTCTGTATTTAACAATAAAGATAGGTTTAATTTATGTTTGTCGTCTGAAATAAGCTACTTATTTGCCGATAACTTTACATATGTATTGTACGATAGATGGATGAGTCGATGAAACTTCCTTCTCCCCTCCTCCCCTTCTCCTTGTCATCTTCCTTCTCCTCTCTTCTCTTTCTCCGTCTACTTTCTCCTTTTCCTTCTCCTCCTCCGCTTCGTCTCCCCTCCTCTTTCTTCTATCCCTCCTCCTTCTCTTCTTCCTCTTCCTAGTCCTTCGTTTCCTTTCTCCTCTTCCTTCTCATAGAGGAGGACGAGAGGGAAGGAAGGAGGGAGAGAGGAGACTGGCTATAACTCTCCTAGACCAGTCATTCCCAACTTTGCTTCGCTAACTGACTGCTAGAGTGACAGGTGGAGCTGATTTGGAATTCCTTTGAGTCAGTGTTTGTGGTGTTGTTGTTGCAAGTGAGCAGAGAGATGACGTTAATGGCCTTCCTGGTTGTGTATTCTTTATAAAGTATTAGTGGTGTTAGGACATGATATGATGGGTGTTTTTCTTCGGGGTAGGAGGGAGCTCAAGATTAGTAGGGATTGTAGTAGGGATGGGGTAGTTGGGGGTCGTGATGTAATTGTGGTGATGGTCGTGGTAGCGGTGGTAATACTACAGCAGTAGCCCAGAACCTTACCTACTGCATAAGCAGGTAAGGTTAATGGACGCATATATACAATATAACACACAGAGCTATGAGTGATGAACTCCTAAGGCTGTAAACATTAAAAGTGTCTTTGTTTGTAGAAGCAGGAGAAGAGATATG